CTTTTAATATTCATAGGATCAATAGTGATGGCCCATCATTTATTTCCCATTGTTTTCTCTCTTTTTTTTTTCTTCCTAATTCTTAATCATTATCTCTCGCTGATGGGATAAAGAATAGTTTTTCTTTTTTGGACTTTTTAATATGGTTAATATGTAGTTTCATAATGGAAAATTATTTTATTTTATCTTATTTTTTACAGGCTAAATTATTTAAATTCTTTTTTTAAAATATATTTTTTATTAATGATAGTATTGCAGCTATCTCCCATTTCCTCCCCCCCCCCCCTTTACGGTCCCCTCCTCTCAGCGCCTTGGAAAATTATTTTAAAATTGCCCACTCTTCAGTCTCTTACCTCAAAATCAACATAGTGGTAATCACTTTTTCATGACCTTCATGAAAAATCTAGTTCAGTATTATTTTTTCACTTTTCATTGGGTTTTGTCTTTGGGAATTCCAGATTTCTTTCTTATGATTAAAGGCTACTGAATAGAATAAAAACATTCAAAAGAAGTGTTATTATTTGAAATAAAATAAAAGTAACATCTTATTAGGGCTTATTAGGTGTTTTGCATATTTTTTAATTTAATTTATACTACAGCCTTAAGCTGCAATTATTATCATCATTTTACAGAGAGGGAAACTGAAGCTCAGAGAAAGTAATTTGTCCAAGGCGACATCTGGAATGTGGAAAACCCATGGATCAGTACCAAGGTTTTGTAATTTCAAAGTCTGTTATCTTTCCAAGATAGATTCGGTTAAATGATTGAGGGAAACTGACTACAAGAGTACTTGCCCGCAGTGGAAAGGATGGCCATTCATTTACTATCAGTTTTCATTATGACATTGCCCTTTTAAAAAATATATATTTTTATCGACTTCAGACAAGAAGGGAGAGAGAGGTAGAAACATCAATGATGAGAGAGAATCATTCATTGGCTGCCTCCTGCATACCCCCTACTGGGGATAGAACCCGCAACCTGGGCATGTGCCCTTGACTGGAATCAAACCTGGGACCCTTCTGTCCGCAGGCCAACGCTATATATACGCTGAGCAAACTGGCTAGAGCATGACATTAGTAAGGTGGTTCCTGTAAAGTACACAATTTGACCCTTTTGAACTTATACAACCATGTTTTAAAATTTTCAAAATGAGAGACAACTTATTTTATTTTTTTAAATATATTTTATTGATTTTTTACAGAGAGGAAGGGAGAGGGATAGAGAGCCAGAAACATCGATGAGAGAGAAACATCAATCAGCTGCCTCCTGCACACTCCCTTCTGGGGATGTGCCCACAACCAAGGTACATGCCCTTGACCGGAATCGAACCCGGGACCCTTGAGTCCGCAGGCCGACGCCCCATCCACTCAGCCAAACCGGTTCTAGTAGAGACAACTTATTTTAAAGAAGATGCCTGATTCACTGTCAAAGTGTACGTGAGAGAGAAAATGATTATGTTCTGTTTTTATTTAGTTTCTAATTTTTATGACATGAAAAGACAACCTGTACAGAGGGAGAAATCGGGTCTATCGTTGATTTTTCAAAATCTGTTTTCATATATAGTGTATATATATATATAATCCTACCATTGTGTATTTGGACTCAAAAATCAAAAGTTGCTGGAGAAAGAGTAATTTTTAAATATTTGTAAAGTCATAGATCTTTTGAATCCAGCAAAATTTACTGGCATTTATGTAGTCATTGATTATTCATTGCTCTTTATTTAACTATGTAGACATTTATTTTAATTAACATTTTCTTGAAGAACTTCTGAAATAAATGAGGATAATCTCAGCATGCCCAATTTTATTGTACAACTGGTAATGGTTTTAATTAATCCAAAGTTATCCTTTGGATTATCATATTTATCACTGAAACTTCATGAAACCTTACAATGATTTTTCAGATATACCTCTTCCCTAGCCTACCACCTATTTTTCAAAAATCACAATGCTAGATTGCTTTCATATTCGCTATTCATGCAGTTATAATAAAAAAGCAGTTTAGATTTCATTGATCTATCAAAATTATCTTCTGCTTAGCATATGAATCAAGTTTTTGCTACACTAATGTTGTATAACAAACAGCTCCAAAATCTGTTTCATGCTTATGCGTGATCAGATTCACTGAACTCCAGGCTGTGGATGGGGATCACATCACCTCATGACTCCAGGTCACAGACTGAAGGAGTAATGATTATATGAAGCAAGTTCTTCACATGTTGGATGGTGGAAGCTCAGGAGAACTGTGGGAACTCACCATGCATTTTTATTCTTCAGTTTAGATTGGTATAGTGTCACTTCTCCGTATTCATCCCATTGGTCAGAGAGCTCTGGCTCCCTAGTAAGACACTGCATGATCCTGCATTCAAGAGTGTGAATGTATGATTCTGTTCCAGTGACAGAGTGAAAGGTTGAAAAAAATTATAAATATATATAACTACACTTCTGGGTTTATAATTGTATAGATCGCATAAACTTTTTGATTTTTCAGGTTGTTTACAAAAGCGTGTTTAATATCTTAAGCAGATATTAAATTAAAATTATCTGCCTTCTGCAAACTAACCTTATTAAGTATAGGTGTGATAGTACAGGAGTTAAAATAGACTGGTAATTCTACCTTGCTAATAGCTTTTGCATGATGTTTGTAGTTTATAATTATTATTTCACTTTTTTTTTCATTTGATCCACAAATAAGTTAAGTAATGGTGGGATCCTTATTTTATAGGTGTGGAAATTTAAAAAAAAACACAAAACTTTATGGCTTGACTAGTTACAGCTAGTAAGTTCAAGTCCTAGATTTTCATAGACTTCAAACACAGTTATCTTTCCTTTATACTGTACTGGATCTTATGTTCCTATTTGCTGCCTTTTCCAAGTTCAGATAAATAGCAGGAATATTTCTGGACCACTGACAAAAATCAAAGAAAGCTATCACTACACTTTATATTCCAAAAATTATATTATCTTCTATGTATTATCTTCAAATGTGTGTTTGGATTGATGCAAGAGTATCCTAAGGGCTGATTCTAACTAAATTTTACTCATAATCACTTCAAAAACATATAAGGGTATTTTCTGTGTAGTTTACCAGAAACATATTAAACTTCATTATGTATTTCAAAAGTATGAGAGTACATTACTGTGGTACACCAGTGCTTTTCAAATTAGTCCTAGTGTAACTGCCTCAGATTGATAATGATTGATTTATGGTTTGAGGCTCTACATATGAATTTATTTGGAAAAAGAAATTGGCAGGTGGCAGGGGGGGAAGTTCTGTTACAGGGAGTAAGTTTCAAAAATCAGTCTATACTAAGTACAGTTGGGAGGACAATGTTATATCTTCAGAAAACCTTTCATCACAAAATGTTCGTTTTCCACAAATATTCTATATTATAGTAATCCTATATAATAAAAGAGAAACATGCAAATTAACAGTCTCTCTGCTCCGCTCAAGCCACGCCCACAAACCAATCAGGAGCAAGTATGCAAATTAACCCAACTAAGATGGCGGCGGCCACAGAGCTAACAGCAGGAGGCTTGGGTTGCCCCCGGCGATGGAGGAAGCCAAGCTTCCCACCAGTCCTGGCCAGCCCTCAGCTCCACTCAAGGCCACAAAGTTTCAATTATAGAAGATAAATAAATCCCAGGGGGAAAAAAAAGGAGAGGCTGGGAGCTTGAGTTGCTGGGAGGCATGGCCAGCCTGAAAATGGCCATCAACCCCTCACCCAGGCTGGCCACACCCCCATGGGGTGAGGCTCCCCGCTGAGGGGCTTGGCCAGCCTGCAAACAGCCATCAGCCCCTCACCCAGGCTGGCCAGGCACCCCAGCCGGACCCCCACCCTGATCTGGGACACCCTTCAGGACAAACCAGCCAGCCCTCCACCTGTGCATCAGGCCTCTTTCCTATATAATAAAATTATATAGGATAATAATAATTATCCTATATAATAATATGCAAATTGACCCTAACAGCAGAATGACTGGGAATGACTGGTCACTATGACACACACTGACCACCAGGGGTCAGACACTCAATGCAGGAGCTGCCCCCTGGTGGTCAGTGCGCTCCCACAGTGGGAGCTCTGCTCAGCCACAAGCCAGGCTGACGGCTGCCAGCACAGCTATGGTGGCGGGAGCCTTTCCCACCTCCTCAGCAGTGCTAAGGATGTCCGACTGCAGCTTAGGCCTGCTCCCTGCTGGCAAGTGGACATCCCCCGAGGGCTCCTGGGCTGCCAGAGGGATGTCTGACTGCCAGCTTAGGCCCGCTCCCCTGGGAAGTGGGCCTAAGCCATCAGGTGGACATCCCCCGAGGGCCCCAGACTGCGAGAGGCACAGGCCAGGCTGAGGGACCCCCCCCCTCCCCCCAGTGCACAAATTTATGTTCACTGGGCCTCTAGTTGAATTATAAAGGACCATTCTTCTGGAAAAAAAAAAAAGTTGTGTGTTGAATAATATAACTTGTTTACCTGGTTTTTACTCTAACTCTTGCAACAAGCCTATAAACAATGTAATAAAAATCTGCTCTGACTTTTTAGCTGTGGATTTCTACTTTTATCTTGGACAGCATTCCATGTTCTCAAATCTGTGGGCTTTTCTGGTGCTTTATTCCATTTCTCTGTTTTATGTTGTCTTTCATAATATGCAAAATTTATTCCTTTCCCCCATATTTCTTTGTTCTGATTTATTTCATAGTGAAAATAAAAAATTAATAGGCAATGATAAATTGAATATTTCAGAGGCTATATGAACCCTATTGTTAGAAAATTAATTTATAACCAGCTCATTGTTCTTGCTACTTTATCCCCTAATAGTGCAAAAATACTCTCCTTGCAGCCTTCCCTGTTTATTTCTTTCTAGATGTCACCAGTTTAATTTAGGTGTTTTCCCCTTACTGTTAGTAGTTAGTTTTTTTACATGAGCCATTGCTCAGGAGAGTGGTATTTTTATTTGTTTTAATAAAGTTCGTGTATTTAATGAATATTTTTCCCTCTTTTAAAGATTATGAACCAGAAGAACTGACTGACTGGTCTATGGATGAAAAATGTTCATTTTGTAACCTACAAAGAGAAGCAGTCAGTGTAAGTTTCAGTGCTATGAAATTATTTCTAAACTATTTGCACAATGGTAACACAATTTTTAAGCTTAATTTGTTTTGAAACTTTGTGACTTATAGTAGAATATAAATACTTGATTTTGGTAATGAGAAGAAAATTAAAATCTCATGTTAGAAGTCTAACATTTAGCTTATCTAGTAGGTGAAAATCCCAAACTACTCATCTTTTTCGCTTATTTCACATTTCTTTCTCATAGCTCCCTAACTCATGAAATCAGTTCAGATCTGTTTTGTATTTACATAGACAAGGCTGATGATCTTGGAGGCCTGGTTTGGTCTGAGACCATCCTACAGGCTGATTTCTCAGGAATCAGTAGTTGGAGGATAATGTGGTACCACATTTTAACTTTCTTCTTTCTCTTGAAGTCTTTTGGATATCGTAATCATCTCCTGTGTAAATTATTAAATATTAGTGTCTACTGTAAACAGGGTATAAACTAGACAAGCAGCATCTTCTTGTATGGTTGGATCCTAATTCTTTACGTACTGTTGTGAGAGGGCTGAGAGGAAATGAGAACTCAAGAACCTGTACCTGTTTTGGTCAGATTAGTAGGTAAACATAACTGCTTTGTTGTTAAAATTCTCATTGCTGGCATGTTATATAGTGAAATTATTCAGCAATATATCTTATCTGCTCTTCCCTCTTTTTTGATTATAGTTTTGCTAAAAAATAAGGCTAAGTTGGCCCTCTATCAGAGCTAAATTTCTTTTTCCCTGACTCCTGTTTCAAATTTAATAATCTCTATATAATTTGAAATTTTTAAAAGATAGAACAAATGAGCATTTAGAGAGTATTTTTTGCCATTTATAATGG